TGGTCGTAACCCGAAGGAAATTTCCCCATAGGGTTCAATGTAAATCCGGTTAATCCGTTCCGCCCTCCGAATTTGGTCGCAACCCGAGGCAAATGTCCCCATAGGGGTCAATGTAAATCCAGTTAATCCGTTCCGCCCTCCGAATTTGGTCGCACCCCGAAGCAAATTTTCCCATAAGGTTCAATGTAATTACCGTGAATCCGTCCTGCCATCCACGGACCACGCGTCGGGCGGGAAAGCGGAGCTGGTCGTAACCCGAAAAGTTCGTTAGTAGAGGCGTTCGTATCCTGAGGTACCACTGTAGTACTTTCTAAGAACAACAATAACACTGGCCTCTTGCTTTTCTGATCCCTAGACCCTGTGAAATTTAAGCTTCAGCTGAATCCTCCTATTTCTGCCCACTGTAAAGCTCACTAATAACCTTACAAGAGAAGAAAGCTTCTTCACCTCCAAGTCCAAAATTGCAGTGTGACTTTTGGCATCGCAGTAAGATTCCAGTTTCTGTTTGGTCACTGTAAGCCACTGTCGGAGATCTGATACTTTGTCATTAAAAGCCCAGTGTTTCTGAATGTGTTGCTTACTTTGTGCAATCATGATCTAAAAAGAACCACAAGAAGAACCATCACTATTAATAAGGGAACACCATTGGAATTCCTTCTTTGGATCAAAAAGCAGGTAGAACGTTTCCTTGCAAGCTCCAAAATGCACTTTATGTATCTCCAAAATGAAGATTCCAAGACAAAGGCAGGATATTACAAGTGGCTTATAGCATCTTCTAGAGTCATTCAGACACAGTTGTGCTGATATTAATGACAATTTTATCATCTCAACAACTCTAGAGGATGCTATAAATCATCAGAAGAGAGATACAGATAATCCTCGCTTACTGACCACTTGTTCAACGACTGTTCAAAGTTACGATGGAGCTGAAAAAAGAGACTTACAACTGGTCTTCGAAGTTGCAGCCATTGCAGCATCCCTGAGGTCACATGATCATGATTTGGACACTTGGCAACCACTGCACATTTACAATGGTCGCAGCATCCCATGATTATGTGATAGCCATTTGTGACCTTCACAGCTGACTTCCGACAAACAAAATCAGTGGAGAAGCTGGCAGGAAGTCGCAAGTGGTGGTCACGTGATGTCACACTTAAGTCAGGCATGGCCATGTGATTTTTCATTTATGACCATGTCACTTAGCAATGGAGTTGCCAGTCCCAAGTGGCAGTAAGTGAGGATTACCTGTAATTGTATGTTTCCTTAGGTGCAAATCCTAATGAACCTAATACAAATTCCATTAAAGTAGGCATGAATAGGACTGTACTGCACATTTTATGAGTTCCAGGCTTATACTCTATCCTGATTTTGTAAATTATTTTGCTATTAATAAAATAAGTTTCTCAAACAGAAAAAAAAAGCCCAAAGTAATATGTTGAAGTGAATGAATATTTGACATAATTTTGTCTTAACTAGCAAAAGACCTTCAGAGATGCAGATCTGAATTTGACCACATAGTGGTGCTCCATGAATAAAAATGCCTTATGCATCTCTTTCTGATGAAGTATTATGCAGCCAAAGAAATATTTCTACAAATATATTATTAATGCTTAATTTTTTCTGTGCTCCTACATTCATTTTTTTAATTACTCAGAACCAAATAACTCCAATTGTCATCTGTGCTTTACGAGTGCATACAGATTCCTTTACACTTTTATCAAAAGGCAACTTGGCTTGATAAAAGTAGCTCAGATTTACTCATCCTTTGCAAGTGAAACCCTCCTGGAAGTGGTATGATGATGTCAATAACATTAAGGCTTGCTGTACCATTAGACAGAACAATCATTTCACAGGGCATATGTTACATAACATGTAATAAACGTAAATGTACTACATAGGCTGCTATTTCTTCCCACTACTGCCTTGTTGCCTTCATTATGATGGAGAAAATAGCCCTACTGCAAATACCAATGTAAGCTCTATCAGTAGTGTTATAAGGATTAGCATAAATCCAGTCAATGTTTTCTCCCATTTAGGCCAATAATCTGATCTCTTGGAGAATGGCCCCAAGATTCAACTTTATTTGGAACATGTCTGAAAAATGACTAAAAGAAGACCTGGATCTCCATAACAATAATGTCTACATGATGATTGGTGGAGGGGTGAGGGCCAGCAGAGATGGACCATTTTACTGACTTGTGTTTGCCAAAGAACACTACATGGGTTGTTATTATTATTACTGTTATTATCATGAAAATAGGGACATGTTACCCCACATTTTCTTCTGCTTGTTTGGAATCCCAAAAGAAGAAGTAGAAACCCTGTCATAAAGGTCCATTATGAGCAATAAGAAAAGCTGCAGTTTGTATGGGCTGATGAACAAGTTTTTCTGCTTTGCTCTTGTCTAAGAAGGATGAGAAACAGTTGCTGCAACAGTGCAAAATCAGGCAGTTTAGAAAGAAGCAGGAAAAATCTCCTTCAAGTTGAGTTCAGCTCCTGATGGCTTCTTGGACCCATCTATGTAGTCATCTTAGCAACAGTATTGAAGTGATTTGTCACTGTCTTCTTCTGGGATGTCTGGAATTCCCTGAATGTCTCCCATTTAAGTACTAACCAGGCCTGACTCTGCTTAGCTTCTGAGCCCAGAAAAGGTTGGCTAGGTGCTGCCATCTCTTGAGAATCCTTCACCAAAATCTGAGTTACCTCCAATGATCTCTTAAGTATTTGACAGTCAGAAGAACACTGTTTTATTTTATGCATCTGTGCTGGATCTGATGGAACAAGTTTCTCTATTTCTTCCATTTGGACTGCACATTCCTCCAGGTCTCCTTGGATGCTCTGTAGAGGAAAATTATATTTTGAATAAGGTTCCATGCATGATGCTGTTGAAGGAATCATTGCATACTTGAAAACATCTTAAAAGCACCTAAGAACCTCTCTGAAAATGCATGTTGTTTTGTCTCAAAGGGATCAGATTCAGCAGGTTAATCTACAAGTGAAAGTTAGTGCTAACCCCGCTAACCCATATCGTTAATAGAACTGCCAAAAAAATGAATCAACTACCACCTAGATTCAAAGCATATACCCTGCAACAGAGCCCACTGGAATAAATTTGCAATGGCACTTGTCAAGACAGGTTCAGACACATGAACTGTGGTGTCTAGGAATTGGCAACACAGGTGAGGAGTAGCAAATGAAAATTATTTTGGAGGAAATGTTTATTCCTTTAATATATGTCTTACTTTTTCATCCCACCTTTTGCTAATTAACTCAAATCAGTACACATAGCTCCTCTTTTCTTTAAATCTCACAACAGACTGAGCGTCTAAAGAATATCCAAGCAAGCTTTGTCACTGAGAATTTAGGGATGTGCACCTATTTAGTTCCAAAGTGGAAAAAGCACTACAGTGGAGGAATGGACATGCTTCCTGTACCAGTTGGTACCTCCTTACAGGAGCCACACCTTTTCCTGGCTCACATGGCAGCCATACAGTTTCAAGAAAACATATTAAAGAGACATTAAGGAGGTGTAAGTATCACTGCTCTAAGTCTAGTGCTCCAAAAATGACAGCATAGGGTGATACTCATGACATCCATAGCTGGGTGTGCCTGTTGACGACACACTTTGGAAAGGAATTCTTCTGGATGGTTCTTGGTGCTGCTTACCTCTAGCCTTTGCAGCCGGGCTTCTTTACCCACCAGATCAGGCAGCAGTTCTTTTTCTGCATTTAGCTTGGATCTGATAGCAGACAATTCCATCTGCAGAAGCTTGAAGGATGCATCGAAGTCTTTATGCTGTGATACCAAAGCCTAGCCAGAGAGAAAAAGTTGATTTTCATGCCAGTCCCGATAGCATGAAAGCCTTCTGCCAGCTCACAATACAGACTTGTGAGTACATCAGAATGAAAATAAAGATCTGTCTGAGGTAAAAACTGAATGATGTATTAATCACTGTAACTGATGGTATATTAATCACTGCACTATTAAATCACAATTATCTTTCTTACCAGGTGACTTTTAGAAGGAACCTACCTGTAACCTGCTTCTCCTCTGGAGTAGCCCTTTGTGCAGGTTTTCTAATTCCTTTGTAGCATCGCTAACTTCCACCAAGAGTAACTTTGCTCTCTCCTCTTTGAAAATATTATTCAGGAAATCTTTTTTCAACTGGATTTTCAGGAGCTGTTCCTTAAGGTGGGAGCTTTCAGCCAGAAAGATCTATAAGGGAGAATATTTGACTGTTATGCATTTATGTCAACCATTTTTATATTGCTACTTTGAAAATATTTCCCCCAAAGCAGATAGCATATCAGGAATAATTAGAATAATAATTTTAAAAATCCCAAAGTCAATTACAACTCAGAAATACTATTAAATAAATATATCAGCATATAATTTATATCATCATATAAATGTATCAGCATATAAATGAACCTATCAGAATAATGCAAGCAATACTAGATGGAAGCTGAAAATTGCACCATGAAGAAGCAGGACAGAAAGAGTATCAATGCTTTTGAACATTGCTTTTGGAGAATACTACGGACAGTCAAGAAAACAAATAAATGGATCACTGAACCTAGAATTTTCACTTGAACACAAATGACCAGGCTCAAATTAACCTTCTTCAAATACATTAGGCAAAAACTAGTTCTCTGGAGAAGGCTGAAATGCTGGGAAAGTGGAAGAGGATGAGGTAGATGGACTCAGTTACAGTGACAGTGGGTGCATCATTGGAAGACCTGAAGGACCAGGTTAGGAACAGATCATAATAGATAAAATATATCTAGAAGGTAATGTTTATGTGGTTACTAAAAGTCAACACTGGCAATCAATCAATCAATCCCAACATAAAACTAAATAAATATACCAGCATATAAAACTGTACAAAACTATACAGATGCCATTGGGAAAAGTTTCTAAAGCTCATCTAAACATGGGAAAAGGGGAGGATCAGTGGATGTACCTGGAAAGAGCATTTCACAGCTGCAGCTCTGCTACCAAAAAAGCCTTGTCTTTTGTATTTGTCAGATGAACCAGAGAGCAAGCCTCAGATGCAGAATTCAGAGCTTTATATGTGAACAAGTAATATTTCAGAGAATGGTCTTAGCTATGAAAGGCTTCAGATAAGCTCCTACAACTATTTTCCAACCATATTCTAAGGAAACCCTCGGTTTCCTGGTATGCTTTGAGGATCTGCAAGGTTCCAGGAGTTATGGGACACTGAGACTTCAACTTAGGGAGAAATAAAAAAGAAAATCTGAGGTGGGAAGGAAGACAAAGTAGAGGAATTGCCTTGCTCCAACTCTTAAGAGGTGAGAGTTAACATCTTAAGCATTTGGCAGTAAAGGGGGATTTGGGGTGAATGCATGTTGAACTTTTTCCACTATGCTCTATTCTGATATGTTCTGCTCTAGGCTAAAGATACACTGTGAAGTTTTGCAGATTCCACTTATATGTATAATACATCTTTATGCCTGTCTATATATAAATACTGTATCTCTCTGCATGTACTTACATTGACACTTACATATACACATACACATATTTCTAACATGCCATCATTCAGTCTCTAGTGAGACTAATAAATAAATAAGATAACAGAGTAAGGCTATACCAATAGGGGTCACATGATTTCCAGGACATGAAGACTAGTATATGTCTTCATTTTTTTCTTCATATGTTTATTCCAATGCACAGCGCTAAATTGCTAAACTTGTTGGAGACTATTATGATGAAGGCTAAATCAGCCTTGTAATCAAATATTGGATAGCTGAGTTCTTACTGATCATTATTTGACCAAAATGAGGAAAAATGATGTATGTGAATGTTCATGATATACAAGTTCTCCTGACATTGTGATAGTCATTGTATAGGCTAATAATAAATGTTCCCACTAGTAATACAGAAGAGTTTTACATTCTTAAAAGAATATCCTGATGTCTTATGTGTTGGTCTGTGAACATGTTGATTTTAAGATTCCAAATGTTACAGATTCTTCGTCACCTCAATCTGACGCAGGAACGCATCTGTCAAGGCAGGATCAGAAACATGGGCTGTGGTGTCCAGAAGCCGCTGAGCTGATGGTTTCCACAGCTGAAACTCCCTCAGGGGGTTTTGGAAGCGCTGCCTCAACTCAGTTTCCGTCTCCGTGCTCATTTTAAACATCTTCCCCTTCAGACTGCAAAAATAAACAGACAAAACTATGACGTTTAAGCCTTTGCAGGAGGGAGAAGCAAATCCCAAATTGGATTGAAAAGGACGAACAGCCTGTCCATGTACTCTGCTTTCTTAACACAAAGCAGCTCTGTTTCTGCTTCACATATTCTCCTGGCTTCTTCTTTCCACAGCTGCCTTTGCCAATCAGATGATCCACAAAACTTTTTTTAGATGCCCAGATGCATTTTCTTTGCACCTGCTGCAGGGAATTATAAGAAGCCAGCTCTGCAGCTTGGATTCCCCAATAGCCTCTTAAGGATCAGCTTTGGGATCCACACATCCATCATCTATTACAGGACTAGAGCAGAAAGATAGCAGACACACTAAAGGAAAAAATAAATAACCATAGGCTGGGGACTTCCCTTAACAGTGAAGATCATAGTGCTTTTGGTGATATTTATTCATGCAACTTTATATCACTTCAATCACAGAGGTGACCTAAGATATTTACAATTCAAGACATACACCACAGAAATAAAGTAAATCAATATAATCATCATAGTAATATTACATAATGTATTTACAGATATCTATTAAAAAATATACACACTAAGTATCTAGAGAGGTCCAGTTTAGCAGCAGTCTCCATTCTGGGATCCTCTGGATAGCTAGTTTGCACAGTGCATCATCTTGGGTACTGAACTAACCCATTTAGTGAGTTATTGCAATATACCGAATCATAAACTTACCAATGGGTATGCACAATAAGGCATCAAGGGATCGAGGTAAAAACTTAGCAAGCTCAGCAGCTGGAGCAAGTGAAGCCACAAGATTAAGTGTGTTTATTGTACAGTACCCCCTTTCTGCAGATTATATTGTCTGCATGTACAAAATATTGGACTTAGTAAGTATGAGGCTGGGATGATAGGTCTTTCTTTCCCCATTCTGACTCTTAAAAAAAGGGTAGCCATGAAGCAGAAAGTTCAGTTTTACTGATTTGTAGGAGTCAACAGATGTGTTTTGTGGAAAGATTCTCATCCTGTTAATTTTAGTACTAACAACATGTGAAAATGTTTTTAGAATTAACTAACCATACCTGAATCTGTGTGGTGCTGAATACCTAAAAATGACAAGCATACTTCCAAGGACAGAACTGGTTGATCAGCCTTGTTAGTTTTCCTGGTCATGATCCAAGGGATTCCCTGATAACTAATAATAATCTTTCTTTTCCCCTTCCTCCAAAATATCATCATACTTCTAGAATGTCTTTTTATTTTTGTGGGCTAAAGCCAATCAAGATGTGTTCCAGCCTTTGTTTCCTTTGTTGCTAATTCTATAAATATATTCTTTCAGGACTAGCAATTTGACATTCACCCACCTACTCTTTGGCCAGCCCCATATTTTTAACAAAGCAGAAGTGATTGTCTCAAAGGCCTAAAATACTGTCCTTTCTACCCAAATCTTTTCAGAGAGAGAAGCTCAGACTACTATTTCTCTAGAAGTCTCTCTAGGTCCAGCAAGTTAGGATTTTTCGCAGACAGAGCTATGGTTGCTCCAGAAGGCCAGGCCATGGTACCTTTAGTCTAGAAGGTAAGCAGGACATCTAAGATAGAAGTGAATCATTTATATCGCAAAGGCATGTAATAGCAGTGAAATCCCTGCCAAAGAAGGCCAGGAAAACAGATTCCAGAATATTGGAGCATCAGAGTGGGCTGGAGTCATCCAAGGTTGTTTTTTTAAAAAATTATTATTATATTGAAACTGAGGTTCAGGCTATCTCCACTCTCCAGATACTCTGTAGACTGGTCCAATACACAGGTGTCTGGTACAAATGAAGTTGACGAAAAAATAACAAAGCATGCCTTGTGACATCATAACACAATTCTTTTGTACCAGTGTTGTGACATTTAATTCAAGGAAATAAGTCACATGGTTTATATTGTGATGTCACAATGAATGTTTCATCATTTGCCTCCTTCCCCCCCCCCCCCCCCCCCCCC